TATATATGATTATAATAGATGGTAGTCAGCTGTATAAACTATGTGCGACAATTGTTAATGTTAAATTGCGCTATTGTTACGCTATATTCAAATGTTGTTTCAAAATGTCATTATTATCATTGTCTTAAAACAAATCATTGATATTATTATAACAGTACTTAATAGTTTTCTTTTGGCATCTTCAATTAGACATTTTAGAGTAAAGCTATTGACATCTCTTTTAGAAAAGTCAAATGCAATAAGCAGTGCACATTAACGGTGTATTATCCCTTTGCACTAGCTAGAATTTTATCATTAATCATGATTATACTTTGCCTGTCATTTGACAGTTCCTGAAAATCTATACAATGTGATTCCCTTTATCATCATTAAACAACGCAGATAATAATATTTCTTGTAATATCAAAATGAAATTATCAATACTCAAAAACTTTTCCTGTGACATAGTCAAACCTAATTTAACCTTTGTACTAGCTAGAATTTCACCGTCAATTGAGAATTTCCTTCCACTTACGATTATATCATTAGTATTTTTAGTATATTCTCTAAACTGACTTAATATTTAATTGCGATTACTATTGTTCAATATTAGTGCGAGATCAGCAAAGATTTCAGCACATTTCAGACTCCATTCTTATTGTTTTTTTCCTGCATATTCATTCATTTCATATCAATACTTGTATACTTGTGAATGTTTAGTAAACCGTCTAAACATTTTACAATTAAGCGTATTTTCCTTTTAAACTGCTGAAAAATAGTTGTAAAATTATCTGTTATGAACATTATTAGAACAGGTATGATTTATATTTAGTTATTTAACCCTTTTAGTGCCGGGCGAAATGGAGGTGCCTATGCGAGAAAAACCGGCCGAATTTCACAGTTTTACAAGGGTTCGGGAAAATGCTTATAAAAACCAAACGAGAAACGATATTTACATGATTCAAAAAGCTGCGTATTATAGATGAAATACAGAACGAAACAATGACACTAGTTTTTTTGTACTTATTTGAAAATTATAGAAAAAAACAAAGGTATATATGTTTATAAATGAAGTAAAACTTGAGTTCTCTCGTACAAAACGTGTTTGCTCATACAAACCATCTTTTCACCACAATTTTATATGGGTCAATTATAATGGGAGAAAAAATGGAGAAAACTACTTTTTTTTCAATATTTGATGGCTCTTCTTTCATCTAAGTATGAATATAGCATCATGTCAGACGTGTCTACGCCTCCCATGTGTTTGTTATATTCAGCTACGATTGCTGGTTTTTCGACCTGTATTTGTGCATTCCTTTTCCTGATTGTAGTCGTTTATTCTGAGCCTTCTCAAATGTGGACATCAGTAAAACATTTTTCTTCTGCGACTTTTTTTCCCGGTACGCTAATAGTAAGACTTCATTATTATTTTGTGTTATATAAAACACTGTCGATAAGTACCGATAAGGGTCCAAATCCACAGCGATTTACGCCGGATCGAATATCGCCTGAGTGGCGACCATCGGTGTTTATGTTAGACTTCGGTACCTCCAAGCGATAGGAAAAAGTCGTCGTCCACAAAGAGTTAAAACGAAAAACTATTTTTTTTAATTCTCTCATAGTGAAATTAGATCATTTATAACGTATTACAAATTTACTGATATAGTTAAATGTCTCAATTATTTCTGAATTATTAAGCTGTAATGAATAATTATATCAGAATAGTACTATCAGATGGAAGTAATTTGAAGTATGCATATTAATAAAAGTACTCACTTAGATTGAAAGCCGGCAAATATTATTACCCATTTTACTTTTACTTCGTCGTTTCTCGCTGGAACTGCATAATAAATGCATTTTTCTTGGTATTTCTTCATTATTAAACAATGCACTTTTACAGCTTATTTTTTACTTCAACAAGCGTTTATTATATTGTAGGTAATTACTTCTCAAAAAAATTATTACAATGGACGCCATGTTTGATTTACGTATCTGTCATTTGCCAAATTCAAGAATAAGTAAGTTTTTTTTGGTAATTTTTACTGTACCACACATAAATGTTGTATTATCCAATAGATTTTGACCTAAAGCGACACTAGCGTAAAAACTATCAATAAATAGTGTGCACCCCTCAAATAACAAACCATTTCGTAATTTCATCACCACATCTTGAGAATGACATATTTTGATTACTGTGCCGTTTTTACCAGCATAAATTACGACATATTATGTGTAGCTTTCCGGTAAACATAATTCGTACAATTTTATACCAAACTTGTGTCGCTTGCCTGGCATATATTGACGGAAACCTAGACGTCCTCTCAACGGAACCATACTCTCATTGATAACAATTTTTGGTCCAGGTCTAACTGAACTTTTGAAAGTATGCACAATTGCTACTACGATGTTGCTATATTTTGTATAATCGGTCTGGAGTGGCTCTGGTATTATTCGCAAAATGTAAATATTTATTTTTGAAAACTGCACTGCGTACATTTTTTTTTTAATCTATAATGCTCGAAATTTGTTGCGAGTTATTTTTTAATTTAATTTCCTTTCTATGTAAATATTAATTGTAACACTTGCAATTTTTCGATATCATGATAAAATTGTCACTAAAATGTAAAATTATTGCAATTTCACTCAAGTTATAATTAGTGCACAGAAAGTTTCATTATTTTTCATATATTAATAGTATATTGAAAAATATATTTCTGTGAGCAATTTGTTTACACATAGAATTTCACAGATTATAATTATTGTGGTTTTCCATTGGGAATAAGTAATTTTGCTTCTTCAATTTGTATAATTCGTTCTTGGAACTTCAATCTGTCTTCTCTCATTTTCTCTAATATTGTTTGCCTTCTACGGCGCTGCCTTCTTCTTGAAGTTGCAATATGTTTTTGAAATTCATATGCACTATCGTCCCGCGCTTCTGCATTGTTTTCCATTTCATGTACATCACTTGTTTCCAGTATGCAGATTGGATTCATATTGTCGCTATTGCCATATATTTCATCAAACTCTCCTTGATACTGAAAATTGACATTTTCTTGCGCTATTAGACATAATTGTTAATATGTATAAAATTATTTTTACATCATTATTCGTACCAGTAGCTTGACTGTTAACATATTTTTTATAATTTCGTTGAAGTACTCTCCAACGATTTTCAATATTGCATTCAGTAAATGTAGTGCCAAATTTAATATTCATGTCATTTTTGATGACAATTCACATAGCCTTCACTGTTCTCAATTCTAATGAACCAACATTTGGCTTTTTTTTTTTTTATTATTTACATATATACATTATTTTCATATCTCAGTCAGACAGAGGTGCCTGGTATGAGAGATTATGAAAAACAGTTTTCATATAATATTTACATTTCATTTGACTATAATAGCTATTTCATTCATATAATATCTATATATATAACTCTTCAGTCTTCTTTGTCTTCAATTTCCATATAGTACTTCTTTATTTTTCTTTTAAAATTATCATTATCATTGGTCATCTTAATATAGTCTGGCAATTCGTTATATATTTTGGTAGCACTCCATATGACATTTTCTCTCAAATTCTTTTTTCTAATGCGTTCAATGTGAAAATTGTTGTGTTGTCTCGTGTAGTCTTCATGTATATCTTGATTTGTGTCTATTGTTGCACTTGTTTTAATTCGGTTAAATTTCATTTTGTGTATTAGTTTGCATTTCTCTATTTTAATTATGTTATTTAGTGAATGATTATTTGTTTCTCTCTGCAAGTATTTGGTGGGTGTTAGATGTGGTAAATTATATGCTATTTTTATGGCTTCATTTATTATTCTCTGTATGTCATTTAGGTTTGCTTTAGTTGTTTGGCTCCATGTTGTTATGCCATATAAAAGTATAGGTATTATTTGCGTTTTAAGAATTAGTATTTTATTTTTTTTGCCGAAAGAGTGGATCCTTTTCAATGCCCCTGTTAATGTTCCTATCTTTCTTTTTATTTTGTTTATATGGTCTGTCCATGTCATTTTCATTTATTATCAGTCCTAAGTATTTTATGCTTTCCACTTCCTCTATTGCTCTATTATTTACTTCAATTTTTAGTTTAGTGTTCTCAGTATTTTTTCTATGTTTGAAATATATGTATTTTGTTTTATCTATGTTAATTGTTAGTTTATTTTCAGTTAGCCACTCGGTGTATATTTTCATGTCCGTGTTTATAATATCTTCGAGTCTTTTTTTATCCTTATCCGCATATACTATCGCTGTATCGTCTGCATATAATATGTATCTAACTTTTCCTGTGACATAGTCAAACCTAATTTAACCTTTGTACTAGCTAGAATTTCACCGTCAATTGAGAATTTCCTTCCACTTACGATTATATCATTAGTATTTTTAGTATATTCTCTAAACTGACTTAATATATAATTGCGATTACTATTGTTCAATATTAGTGAGAGATCAGCAAAGATTTCAGCACATTTCAGACTCCAATCTTATTGTTTTTTTCCTGCATATTCATTCATTTCATATCAATACTTGTATACTTGTGAATGTTTAGTAAACCGTCTAAACATTTTACAATTAAGCGTATTTTCCTTTTAAACTGCTGAAAAATAGTTGTAAAATTATCTGTTATGAACATTATTAGAACAGGTATGATTTATATTTAGTTATTTAACCCTTTTAGTGCCGAGCGAAATGGAGGTGCCTATGCGAGAAAAACCGGCCGAATTTCACAGTTTTACAAGGGTTCGGGAAAATGCTTATAAAAACCAAACGAGAAACGATATTTACATGATTCAAAAAGCTGCGTATTATAGATGAAATACAGAACGAAACAATGACACTAGTTTTTTTGTACTTATTTGAAAATTATAGAAAAAAACAAAGGTATATATGTTTATAAATGAAGTAAAACTTGAGTTCTCTCGTACAAAACGTGTTTGCTCATACAAACCATCTTTTCACCACAATTTTATATGGGTCAATTATAATGGGAGAAAAAATGGAGAAAACTACTTTTTTTCAATATTTGATGGCTCTTCTTTCATCTAAGTATGAATATAGCATCATGTCAGACGTGTCTACGCCTCCCATGTGTTTGTTATATTCAGCTACGATTGCTGGTTTTTCGACCTGTATTTGTGCATTCCTTTTTCCTGATTGTAGTCGTTTATTCTGAGCCTTCTCAAATGTGGACATCAGTAAAACATTTTTCTTCTGCGACTTTTTTTCCCGGTACGCTAATAGTAAGACTTCATTATTATTTTGTGTTATATAAAACACTGTCGATAAGTACCGATAAGGGTCCAAATCCACAGCGATTTACGCCGGATCGAATATCGCCTGAGTGGCGACCATCGGTGTTTATGTTAGACTTCGGTACCTCCAAGCGATAGGAAAAAGTCGTCGTCCACAAAGAGTTAAAACGAAAAACTATTTTTTTTAATTCTCTCATAGTGAAATTAGATCATTTATAACGTATTACAAATTTACTGATATAGTTAAATGTCTCAATTATTTCTGAATTATTAAGCTGTAATGAATAATTATATCAGAATAGTACTATCAGATGGAAGTAATTTGAAGTATGCATATTAATAAAAGTACTCACTTAGATTGAAAGCCGGCAAATATTATTACCCATTTTACTTTTACTTCGTCGTTTCTCGCTGGAACTGCATAATAAATGCATTTTTCTTGGTATTTCTTCATTATTAAACAATGCACTTTTACAGCTTATTTTTTACTTCAACAAGCGTTTATTATATTGTAGGTAATTACTTCTCAAAAAAATTATTACAATGGACGCCATGTTTGATTTACGTATCTGTCATTTGCCAAATTCAAGAATAACTAAGTTTTTTTTTTTGGTAATTTTTACTGTACCACACATAAATGTTGTATTATCCAATAGATGTTGACCTAAACGACACTAGCGTAAAAACTATCAATAAATAATGTGCACCCCTCAAATAACAAACCATTTCGTAATTTCATCACCACATCTTGAGAATGACATATTTTGATTACTTTGCCGTTTTTACCAGCATAAATTACGACATATTTTGTGTAGCTTTCCGGTAAACATAATTTGTACAATTTTATACCAAACTTGTGTCGCTTGCCTGGCATATATTGACGGAAACCTAGACGTCCTCTCAACGGAACCATACTCTCATTGATAACAATTTTTGGTCCAGGTCTAACTGAACTTTTGAAAGTATGCACAATTGCTACTACGATGTTGCTATATTTTGTATAATCGGTCTGGAGTGGCTCTGGTATTATTCGCAAAATGTAAATATTTATTTTCGAAAACTGCACTGCGTACATTTTTTTTTAATCTATAATGCTCGAAATTTGTTGCGAGTTATTTTTTAATTTAATTTCCTTTCTATGTAAATATTAATTGTAACACTTGCAATTTTTCGATATCATGATAAAATTGTCACTAAAATGTAAAATTATTGCAATTTCACTCAAGTTATAATTAGTGCACAGAAAGTTTCATTATTTTTCATATATTAATAGTATATTGAAAAATATATTTCTGTGAGCAATTTGTAGTGCAGTAAACGGAGAAAAAAAAAGGGTATAACCTCTGAATTTTTTTACTGTGCTCCGAATTGAATGAAATTTTGGAATTAGGTTCATCTTACCCTCAAGTTCAAAAGTGAAAACAATTCGGGTTGCGCCATCACCCCCCGGGGGGATGACACCCCCTCTCAATTGTGTAATTACGTTTTTTTGAAATAACGTCGGAAATCGATAGAAGAACTAATTATAAGAAAAAAATGTCTTTTATAGTTTTTTAAAAAAAACTAATACTTTTCAAGTTACTGGCCACTAAAGATTCATATATTTTTGGCGTTTTTCTTCGTTTTTTTGCAAATATCTCCTAAAGTATACATTTTAACGAAAATCATGTAATGAACAAAATAATGTCAATAAAAATCTTAATAAATCGGTGTTAGATAAAGTGTTCTAGGAAAAATATTAAGCAAGATTTGAAAGAGCAAAGTCGTTTTTTATTTCGTTCAAGATTTAATTGTTGTATTTAAAGCCATCTAGTGTCGAGGTTTTACATTTTATGAATTTCGGTAAAATTGGGTTTTATAGTACTCAACATAAGCTTTAAAATGAGTGCTGTTACAAGTTTTTTGCGTGTAAAATGAGTGAGCTATCATGCAAATAAGAAGCATATACGAAGTTTTTTTCTTTTAAATCATATGGTTTAATGAGCGCCATTTCCACCAGAATTAAAGTAATTCACATTCCATCTAAAAATCACTTCATTATAGACATCTTGATGGATCCTAGCAGATTCACTTCTTTAGTACAAACTATTTTCAGAAAACTCACGATTTTATAAAAACTTTTTTTTCCAATTTGCGCGGCCGCGCAGTCTTTAAACATTCATAACTCTGTAAATTTTTGTGTGAAAGAATAATAATAAAAAACAAAAATAAGCCAGAAAGATCCCTTTGATTTTTATCTATATGCTTTTATACGTATCTTTTATTCTTTTTGAGATATAATGAAAATAATTTCGATTTTAAAAAAAAATTGGAAAAAAAAGTTTTTATAAAATCGTGAGTTTTCTGAAAATAGTTTGTACTAAAGAAGTGAATCTGCTAGGATCCATCAAGATGTCTATAATGAAGTGATTTTTAGATGGAATGTGAATTACTTTAATTCTGGTGGAAATGGCGCTCATTAAACCATATGATTTAAAAGAAAAAAACTTCGTATATGCTTCTTATTTGCATGATAGCTCACTCATTTTACACGCAAAAAACTTGTAACAGCACTCATTTTAAAGCTTATTTTGAGTACTATAAAACCCAATTTTACCGAAATTCATAAAATGTAAAACCTCGACACTAGATGGCTTTAAATACAACAATTAAATCTTGAACGAAATAAAAAACGACTTTGCTCTTTCAAATCTTGCTTAATATTTTTCCTAGAATACTTTATCTAATATCGATTTATTAAGATTTTTATTGACATTATTTTGTTCATTACATGATTTTCGTTAAAATGTATACTTTAGGAGATATTTGCAAAAAAAACGAAAAAAACGCCAAAAATATATGAATCTTTAGTGGCCAGTAACTTGAAAAGTATTAGTTTTTTTGAAAAACTATAAAAGACATTTTTTTCTTATAATTAGTTCTTCTATCGATTTCCGACTTTATTTCAAAAAAATGTAATTACACAATTGAGAGGGGGTGTCATCCCCCCGGGGGGTGATGGCGCAATCCGAATTGTTTTCACTTTTGAACTTGAGGGTTAGATGAACTTAATTCCGAAATTTCATTCAATTCGGAGCACAGTAAAAAAATTCAGACCTAAAACGCTCCGTTTACTGCACTATTGTTTACACATAGAATTTCACAGATTATAATTATTGTGGTTTTCCATGGAGAATAGGTAATTTTGCTTCTTCAATTTGTATAATTCGTTCTTGGAACTTCAATCTGTCTTCTCTCATTTTCTCTAATATTGTTTGCCTTCTACGGCGCTGCCTTCTTCTTGAAGTTGCAATATGTTCTCGAAATTCATATGCACTATCGTCCCGCGCTTCTGCATTGTTTTCCATTTCATGTACATCACTTGTTTCCAGTATCACTTGTTTCATATTGTCGCTATTGCCATATATTTCATCAAACTCTCCTTGATACTGAAAATTGACATTTTCTTGCGCTATTAGACATAATTGTTAATATGTATAAAATTATTTTTACATCATTATTCGTACCAGTAGCTTGACTGTTAACATATTTTTTATAATTTCGTTGAAGTACTCTGCAACGATTTTCAATATTGCATTCAGTAAATGTAGTGCCAAATTTAACACGTTGACTGCCACGCGTGTTTACAACAAAATCCCCGTCAGGCCACCCGTGCCACTGTAAGACGCGTGCTCTGCCTTGAACGTTGAACTTCTACTGGGGACGTCAATTGTAAACGCTTTGGTCGTTTATAAAATTGTTACAAAGAAAACTGTAAATATTAGACGATCCAGGGAACTGATTGCTGCAAAGTTACTAGGACTGAGTGAAGATTTAACACTGTCTTCTGTTCGACGAAATACGCATTGCATCGCCTTTCGCAGAAATAATTTGAGGAAAAGCCTTAGACGCGCATGCAAGCGGTATTACGCAAATAAAAGAGAAGAACTGGACCGATCAAAGGCACGAGCAAATCTCAGAAAACCTACCACTTTTTGTCCAAGCTGCCCTGGTCAACCGCAACTTTGCAGTGAATGCTTCAATATTTTGCACTGTAAATAATTTTGTTAATAGACGATTTTAAAAAAAAATCAACAGTATTATTATCTCCTGTAATATATTTATCTAAAAATGTTCGGAAAACCTTTGGAAGGAGTCACCCGACGTGGCCTGATGAGAACTCTTGCTGTCACCCGTATACGGGTGACGTGGCCTGATGAGAACTTTTGCTGTCACCCGAATTCGGGTGACACGGCAGTTAACGTGTTAATATTCATGTCATTTTTGATGACAATTCACATAGCCTTCACTGTTCTCAATTCTAATGAACCAAAATTTGGCTTTTTTTTTTTTTTTTTTTTTTATTATTTACATATATACATTATTTTCATATCTCAGTCAGACAGAGGTGCCTGGTATGAGAGATTATGAAAAACAGTTTTCATATAATATTTACATTTCATTTGACTATAATAGCTATTTCATTCATATAATATCTATATATATAACTCTTCAGTCTTCTTTGTCTTCAATTTCCATATAGTACTTCTTTATTTTTCTTTTAAAATTATCATTATCATTGGTCATCTTAATATAGTCTGGCAATTCGTTATATATTTTGGTAGCACTCCATATGACATTTTCTCTCAAATTCTTTTTTCTATTGCGTTCAATGTGAAAATTGTTGTGTTGTCTCGTGTAGTCTTCATGTATATCTTGATTTGTGTCTATTGTTGCACTTGTTTTAATTCGGTTAAATTTCATTTTGTGTATTAGTTTGCATTTCTTTATTTTAATTATGTTATTTAGTGAATGATTATTTGTTTCTCTCTGCAAGTATTTGGTGGGTGTTAGATGTGGTAAATTATGTGCTATTTTTATGGCTTCATTTATTATTCTCTGTATGTCATTTAGGTTTGCTTTAGTTGTTTGGCTCCATGTTGTTATGACATATAAAAGTATAGGTATTATTTGCGTTTTAAGAATTAGTATTTTATTTTTTTTGCCGAAAGAGTGGATCCTTTTCAATGCCCCTGTTAATGTTCCTATCTTTCTTTTTATTTTGTTTATATGGTCTGTCCATGTCAGCTTTTCATTTATTATCAGTCCTAAGTATTTTATGCTTTCCACTTCCTCTATTGCTCTATTATTTACTTCAATTTTTAGTTTAGTGTTCTCAGTATTTTTTCTATGTTTGAAATATATGTATTTTGTTTTATCTATGTTAATTGTTAGTTTATTTTTAGTTAGCCACTCGGTGTATATTTTCATGTCCGTGTTTATAATATCTTCGAGTCTTTTTTTATCCTTATCCGCATATACTATCGCTGTATCGTCTGCATATAATATGTATCTAACTCCACAGGTTATGTTACATCCTCCACTTGTGAAATTTCCCACCTTCGTCCTTACCACTCTTTTCATGAGGAAATCTTTGATAATGCTGTAAGACAAACCCTCTACACCCAAATCTATTAGTTTATTGAGTAATATGCCATGATCTACTGTATCGAAAGCTTTTTGTAAATCAATAAAAATTGCAACTGTGTGCATATTTTCCTCAAGGTGCTGACTGATGGTATTAGTCAAATCTATTAGGGCACCTTGTGTATTTGATGAAGGGAGGAAACCATATTGATTTTTGTCAATTTTTTGAATGAGAAAATCAAGTAATCTTTTTTTTATTACTTTTTCATATATCTTGGAGAATGTGTTTGTTATTGTTATGGGTCTGTAGTTATTTGGATCTGTTTTGTTTCCTGTTTTGAAAATTGGTTTTATTGTAGCCATTTTAAGACACGATGGAAATATACCACATTCTATGTATCTATTCATTAAAACAGCAAGTAGTGGAGCTATTATATTTATTATTTTTTAGTGATTCTTGCTGTTATCTTGTCTTCGCCAGGTGCAGCGTTATTTTTCAGATTTTCA